AGGGTTTAGGGTTTAGGTAATATAGTGACGCTAAGCTATACCACCAGGGCCCTGTTCTACTTATTGATGCTCCTTTTCTGGATCCTAGGTCTGCCGATTCCTACACCCTCCAGCCGAGCTCAGCTGAAACCCAAAAAGGCCACACACGGAGCCCTGGAAACCTACACCCTGTATGCGTAACTCGTGTAGAACCCTTGTACAGCCCTAAACCCTAAACCCTTATAGAGCCCTTTTAGACCAAACAGCGTTTGGGGGCTTTGAGCTGCCATCGCAGAAGCTGAAAGTGTTAAGATTCTTCCGGCCGTCGATATGTGGGTAGTTCTCAAAATTAGGGTCCCTTTTGGGGTACCCCAAATAAAAGGTGCCGTATTATAATAAGGACCCAAAAAGGGACCCCATAATTTTGACAACCACCCATGTGGCTAGCATTTCTTACTAAGGGGAGTGTTCGTTTTTAGTGTCTTAGTCCTAGGGTGTTGATCTGAGGTTCGGGATTTAGGCTTGCCGGGGTAAGTGTATAGGGTACATGGGAGCTGTTTTATAGGTCGTCTCAAGGCGGGAGCATTAGGAATGCACTTCCACAGAAAAAGGCGAACCCCACTCATGGGCTACTTCGGGACATTCGCTCAGACATGCCTTTAGCCTTATGTCGTAAAGTGGTCGAGACTGCTAAGCCCGGTTAGGAGCTGGTACTGACCAGCGCAGTTCACAGGTTCGACCTTTTCGTTTCATCGACCAACATCCGGTACTGCCTGCCTTGCATGTGGGAGCAGCTCCCAAAGATCGGCCTATTTATAAAGAAGCCCTGAAGCCCAAACCCGGGCTCCTTAAAACTATGGTATAAGTAGAATACACCCCCCAAACCCTATTTTAGTTATGAAGGCCCCAGACTTACCTGGGGTTGTCCAAGTACCTTCAGAGCTTTCGGCTCCTTATTACTCCCGGCTTTGGCATTTTTGTTTGAGGAACCTTCCGTCATCGCTTGAGGGGTTCTTAGAGCCAGGGTCTCTGCTTTAGGGTGTTTTGAATTCAACCTGAACCATAGGAATAGGGGTACCCCTGATTGTTATTACGCCCGCGTGAGGAAACTACCCACTAGAGATGCGTTTTAGGCTAACTTCTGAGACCCACAACCACAGAGTATTTGCAGCGGAGGTGTTCATACTCCTTCGTCGTAGTGTAGGACTAGGACCTTCCTCCGCAAAGCTTCGTGTTCGGGCGGTGAAGAGCCGACGGTTGCGTAAATGGCGTACAAGAAGCCCAAACCCCAAACCCTAGCCCCCATTAGGGTTTAGAGGGTTCCTGTTTCTTAAACCCAGAAACCAATGGCTTAGGACTAAGCAATGAACGCTAATCCCCGAAGCCCTGTATATGGTGGGCTAAACAATTACCGATTGCCAAGACTAATTTGGGGGCTCCTCATTAGCATTATAGTATAGTATACCCCAAACCCCTACCAAAATCACTAAGGCCCCTATAGTAACGGATTCCTGTTCCTTAAACCCAGAAACCGGCTAGGCAGGTAGGGGGCTCGAAGGCCAAGATGCAAGAGATATGGGTGGTTCTCTAAATTAGGGTCCCTGTTTGGGTCCCCAATATAGAACGGCATCCTTATAAAAAGGACCCTAAATGGGACCCTAATTCAGAGAACTACCCATATACGGGTAGAGGCTTCGCCTCTGCGCCCTCTAGGCACTACAGGGGCGGTTTGGGGTTTAGGGTACTGCCCCACAGACGTATCACATAGTCTCATAGTGTACCATCATATCATAATACACTTTGGCACATCCATCTTCAAGTATAGTGTATGATCTAGCATGACCTTCGGTCCCAACGCCTTGATACATAAGCCCTGGTACAGTATACCAAGCAGCCCTATGTTGATGATTACGGCCCCTGGACTATCTGAACCCTAAACCCTAAACCCTAAACCCTAAACCCCTAAACCCCTAAACCCCTAAACCCTAAACCCCTAAACCCCTAAACCCTAAACCTCACGACTCTGAAGCCCTGGACTCTTCAGCCTGACATGAGAGCCTAAACCCTAAACCCTAAACCCTAAACACTAAACCCTAAACCCTAAACCCCGCAGCCCCGGAATCCCCAAACCGAATCAGCTGAAGCTTCCGACATCCTTAGCCCCAAGGGCTTAGGGGTACTTAGAAATAACTTTTAATCTTTGGTTACTATAAACCCTAAGAAGCAGCTAGAATTATAATTTTTGCTAGGGGTCTAAGTTCAGTTTAGAGGGGGCCTAACACCGAAACCTTAAAAGCAGCCTTTACAGGGATCCCTTTTAAGGAGCTGAAGTATTTGCAAGGGCCATGGGGACTTATATATCTAGTCTGGAAATAAGTTCCTTAGTATAGTTACTTCGTTTGCAGCTTTAGTGCTAATCCCACGAGCCTTTCAGTAGTTCATGGAGAGAAAACCCGGCTTCTTTTACATGATAAATCCGAAGTCTGTAGGACCGTAGGAATACCCGAAACCCTGAACCCTAAACCGCGAAACCTCACGCCAAATCCCGAGCCCTTTTCCCTGCTGCAGCAGTTTTATACCGTAAGCCCTGAAGGTAAGCCCGAAAACCCCTTGTTCGCCCGTAGTACATCATGTTTACTTCGTCTTGCTTGTTTGGAGGGTAAGGGGGGTCTGGACTGGGCTAGCATTTTTTAAACTACAGGACGATGGAATGATTATTCGAGGGGCCACCCAAAACATTCTAAAGTCAAGCAAGGGGTTGCGAGTCTCTGTGAAGCCAGGCTACTACAAAGAGACAGAGCAGGTGCTTGGCAAGACCTTCGGAATGCGCTGTCCTCATCGACACCGTCCTACATATGGGGCTTTCCGAAAATATGGGACCCTAATCTAGTACCCTAAATAGTAGGATCCTTATTATAAGGACCCCATATAAGGTACCCCATAGTTTCGGAAACTCCCATATCTCTTGAGTGTCCCTTGAACTAGGCCGTCGGGTGGATCCGGAATCTCCTGAAGAGAGCCGGCGGGTCTCTGCCGGCTCGCCAGGAGATCCTAACTTTTCCCTACCCCCCCAGGTATCTACTATATAGGGTACTAGAGCCCCTAGGGCCCTGTATAGTAGGTACCTGGGCGGTTAGGGTTTCAGGGTCGTAGTCCTCCCAGTAAGGCTCTGTTCGAGCAGGGAGTATCATGATGGAAGTAATCTTTGGAGCGCAGGACCTGGAATATGTCAGGGCCTAACATGAAATCTTCCGGTGTGGCATTACTGCATTACTTATGTTGGGGCTTGGTGGCTCCAGGGTCTGGCGTAGTGTTGAGGGTTTCTGGCGCAAAGTAGGGATCAGCTGGGTCGCCTGCATGCTCGAGACACTTCACCCTACGACCCCAAAATCCCAACAACAGTGCCGATAGGAGGCATTCAAGGAACTTCAAGGAACCCTTACGGAGTGCCTGAAGGAATCGGATCAAAACGAAAGCCCGGAAAAAACCGCAAAGCTTTTACAAAGCCCTGGAAAGTAGCCCTTAAACCGTGGGCAACAAAGCTAAGGAATAAGCCCTTGAAACAACCTAAAGAACACTACAAGACTCATAAAGCCGGAGAGCAACAGTCAAAACAATTACAAATCACTTCAGAGGAGCACATAAACCCTAGATCTTCAAATCCGAAAATCCATAACTCTAAACCCCAAATGCCTCGACCCTGAACGCCCAAGTGCATCCTGCAAAGCCAAAAGGAGCCCGAAAGCCCTATCTGAGCAACAATCTACGTAGACCCTAAAAGCCCTAGCCCTTATACTGATACTAACATTCGACCCTAAACCCTAGACCCCCTGGACCCCAATCCCAACACCCAAGGGGACCCTCCCAGCAAGAATCTACGTAGACCCTAAAGCCTCTAGCCCTTGTAACTACCACTAAACCCTAAAACCTAAGACCCTAAAGCCCTAAACCCTAAACCCCTGGACCCCAATCCCAACTACCTTTAAGGGGACCCCAGCAAGAATCTACGTAGACCCTAAAACCCCTAGACCTTACAACTACCATGAAGGGAACCCAGCCTGAACCCTAAAACCCAAAACCCTGAACCCTGAACCCTAAAACTCTAAACTCTAAACCCGATAAACCCCAAACCCTAAACCCAAAAACCGCGAGAATCCTCACAGGTGCATCCTTCAGGACTTCGAGGCGTTGACTCCCAATCTGCTCTGCCGCGTGGTAGAGACAGTGTCTTGGCACGAGACGCAGAGGGTTCAGGGTTTAGTTTAGAGCTTAGGGTTCAGGGTTCAGGGTTTAGGGTTTTTGGTTTTAGGGCTTAGGGTTTTAGGGCTCTAGGGTTTAGGGTTTAAGGGCTAAGGGTTTGAGGGTTTAGGGCTTAGGGTTCTAGGGTTTGAGGGCTTTAGGGTTTAGGGTTTTAGGGTTCAGGGTTTAGGGTTCAGGGTTTTAGGGCTTTAGGGGTTTAGGGTTTTAGGGCTTTTTGTTTGTAGGGCTTAGCGTTTTAGGGCTTGGGGCTTTAGGGTTTTAGGGTTTAGGGTTTAGGGCTTTGGGTTCAGGGTTTAGGGTTTAGGGTTTTAGGGCTCAGGGCGGGTTTAGGGTTTAGGGTTCAGGGTTTAGGTATTAGGGTTCAGGGTTTACGGTTCAGGGCTCAGGGTTTAGAGTTCAGGATTCAGGGTTCAGGGTTTAGGGTTTAGGGTTCAAGGTTTAGGGTTTAGGGTTCAGGGTTTTCGGGTTCAGGTTCAGGGTTTAGAGTTTAGGGTTCAGGGTTTGGGGTTTAGGGGTTTACGGGTTTCGGGTTTTAGGGTTTAGGGTTTAGCGTTCAGGGTTTAGGGTTTTGGGGTTTACGGGTTTTGGGGTTTAGGGTTTAGGGTATCTCCTTGTCATGAAGCAGCTTCTACCCCCTTGAACCCCCGAACCCTTGAAATCCTTTAGCTCTTGACAGCTCCGAAGCCCGAGGTGGAGGGTGGAGGCATCGTCGGAACCTCAGACAGCATCGGGGCCTGCAGGGTGGAAGGCTTAGAGGAGTGTGTTCCTACTTGCTTCGGCTTCTATGTTGATCGAGGAGTCAGAGGACTTAGTAAGTAAGTTACAATTAATTCCGATTACATGACCGGGGTCCTAGTTACTAAGTCCATTGAGCCTCCAAGAAGTTGAGTGCAATGCTTAGGGGCTCAGTTGATGGGCTAGAAATGCTGGTGAGTGTATAATCTGGCGTTTTCTGTTGGGTAGACTTTTCTGATACTGTATACTATAACGCTTGAGGTCTGCGTAAACACTACGTGCTTAGTTCGGACCCGCCACTACGTTTCAACGTCTACAGCAGCGAATAAGCAACCGAGGAATGGGCACGTAGAGGTTCATTCGATGATCAGGCTATTGGGCCTTATCGGGCGATACCCGTCCAAAGTCCTCTTTTGTATTTCAAGGTGTTCTTTGGCTTGAGGGTGAGGAATTGTTTTGACCCTTCACAGGCCCCTTTGTGCAGTTCGACGGTGTAGAACTCGTTTAGTTCAATTTGAGGTCGTGCTTGCTTCCGGTGTTAAGAGGCCCCTTTTTCTTTTCGTCTGAGGGTTTCGAAATTGTTGGCTTGTACTGTTTGGTTGCACAATAGTATTTCCAGTTTCAGCCGTGCCAAGAAGCAAACGCGTCGGCCAGGAAGAGGAACTGCAGTTGAGTGTGCTGGTGTAGTACAGGGGTCTTAGAAATAAGTGCTGACCATTTACGAGTTCTCAAAGTTCTTAGATATATTTTTTGAAGTATTTTAGTCAAGGCCCCCTGTATTATTTCTAGAGCATTAAGATCTGCGGCCTTTAGAAGAGAACTGAGACCTCCCACATCCCTTTGCTGAGGTGTTGTTGCTGTCGGCCTGGCTGTGTTTCAGCTTTCAGTCGGGTGCACGAGCTGCGCCGTATCACATTGAATACAGGCTGTTCAAAGTTCAGGGCTGGGTGGTGGAATGGAGTCTCGGTATTCATTCTTGAACTAGTAGTGTTCGGACGATGTGCTTGGTAAGTCAAATTGCAAGAGCGTCTGTGGCGAGTGTGGATGGGAGGAGGAAATTCAAAGGAACATGGTTGTAAGGAGTAGAAGGCTAGCAACTACCGATTCCACGGTAGTCAGGGATTTCAAAGATTGCAGCTGCTTTGGCATGTTTCAGTAGTAGTAGCCTTACTCATAATCCGTTACACATCAAAGTGCTTTCAGCATCACCTGAAATGAGCGGCCCCAAAACCCTTAGCCGCAAACCCACGCCTAAACCGCTTCAAACGTTGATCCCCAAAGCCCTTTCCCCTCACCTCAAACTCATGCTCCTACGACCTTCAACTATGCCCTAACGCACGCCTTGTGAATCGTCTTGCTGGCTTAGAGCTATGGTTTAAGGCTTTAGGGTTTAGGGCTTTGGGGTTTAGGGTTTAGGGTTTAAGGCTTTAGGGCTTAGGAATTGAAACAAGATCCGACATGCCTTTCTCGATGCCGTTGGTTCGGAGCTGCTGTGTCGGTAGGTTTCGGACCATTTCGGGTTTAGGGTTTAGAGTTTTAAGGCTAAGGGTTTAGGGTTGAGAGTTTTAAGGCTAAGGGTTTAGGGTTTAGAGTTTTAAGGCTAAGGGTTTAGGGTTGAGAGTTTTAAGGCTAAGGGTTTAGGGTTTAGGGTTATGAGGCTGAAGAATTTCAATGTCTATGGCACCCAGGGTAAACATACTCAGGATCTCGGACCCGGGGCTGAATCAGAGGAGTTTACGACTGGGCGCGGCCGTCGGTAGCTCGCGATGTGCACGCGCGGCCTGTGCAGGAGCCATGTTCAACAGCTCGATAAGCCTCATGACTCGTGACACTTACCAGGCATCCTTGAAACAAGACGTATCCCAAAGGACGTAAGGGTCCAAAGGACCTAATAATCATGTACTTGGGTTACAGATAGTCGTTTTGTAGGTTAGTATTCAGAAGAGTATATGATGATTAGGTACTTGGACCCTGAGGGTATGTTAAGGGACGAGGACCAAGGGCTGGTAATGTGAAGCCAATTTCGGGGCCAGGGTTCATGGCTAAACCCTAAACCCTAAACCCTAAACCCTAAACCCTAAACCCTAAACCCTAAACCCTAAAACCCTAAACCCTAAACCCTAAACCCTAAGCCGGAGCTTTAGCACTTCAAGGGGGGTCGAGTGACCTCTTTCTATAGGACAGTGGGCAAGCCAGGTCTGTTGCATCTACGCCTTGCCACTAGACCCTATTATTGTTTGCCCCTAAACTTGAACCTTCAGCCCAAGTAAACCCCAAGCCCCAAGCCCCAAAGAAACCTTATAGGCTATAGGCAGAAATCCTTCAAGGCTGCATGTACCCTTTGGGCACTTGCTTCAAACCATGAGGGAATTCATCACAGACACCTGGGCCGGAAGGCTCGAACCCTAAACCCTAAACCCTAAACCCTTGTAGATTGCAGCTTTTGAGCACGAGATTCTTGTAAGACCCGCAAGAAGAGCCCAGAACCCTAAGACTCCTTGAACTCCCTGAAAAAAAACATAAAAACGCTGTAAAAAATCCTGAAGCTTTCCCATAGGCCCCATAGTAGTTCCTCTTTTTGGGGTTCATATTTAGAATCCTATAAGGTAATAAAAAGGAACTACTACGGGGCCTATGGGACCCTAAACCCTAAACCCTAAACCCTAAACCCTAAGCCCTAAGCCCTAAGCCCTATACCGGAGGATGTTCCGACGCGAGCCGCAACCTCCGACATTCATCCACTCCCCGGAAGAAGGCAGCAGGGGACACCCTGAAGGGTCCAAGGGACCTAATAATTGGAACAGGGTTCCTTTAAGGGTACCTTTTAAAAAAAATACTATAAAGGGCATTATAAGGATTTAGTATAGGGGTCCTAATAATCATGTACTTGGGTTACGGATAGTAGTTTTGTAGCTTAGTATTCCGAAGAGTATATGACTATTAGGTACTTGGACCCTTAGGGACAGGGACTGCTGCAATTGTTCCCTGAAGCCTTGCTGCGGCTCGCTTTAAAGGATTCGACAACGTTCTTGTAAGGGTGTTTGAGTTTGGGGTCACAGCTTTGCTTCTGAGTTTTATTGGGCTTAGATTTTCCACCTACCGCCATTTCCTGAACCGAAGTAACTAATTACTGACACGGTATACAAACCGCCCATTCAGGGTATTCGTCGCCGAGGTGTTGGTGCGCTAGATTTCAAGCCCTGCGGTGGAGGGTTCGGGGCTTAGGTTTAAGGGTTCAGGGTACAAGTTAGATTCAGAACTATTGGCTTGGAAGGTTTGAGGCCTGAGTTTAGGGTCTAGGATCCAGATAGTAGTGTTTTGGTGTTTTGTGTCTAGCTACACTACCCAGCTTTCGTTACACTTAACGAGCAGCACTGTGTTTGCTACATTGTTTGGGCAATAGCTGCTACTAACAGTCTGAGAATCCGGTGGGTTGCCATTTGGGTGGAGATCGTGATCTGGCCACAACAAGAGTGCCCCCTAAAATCCTAAACACCCTAAACCCCTAAACCCCAAAGCCCTAAACTCCTTAACCCTAAACCCTAAACGACAAACCCCTAAACCCTAAACTCCCAAATCCCGAAACCCCGAAACCCTAAATCCGCTCCAGGCCGATCCGCGAGCCACCAGAAGCTGCTGGGAGACGTCAAGAGCTTCATGGCAGGCCTCTTGCCTGCGCTGTAAAGTACTGTAGAAGCCTGAAGAACTACATATATTATGCGTTAGGGTTCCTTATTATACGTAGACAAAAAAGAGCCCAAAGCCCTGTTCTAAGTATTCAGGTTCTCGGGGCTTTTTCAACCAAAGGATGAAACAAGGTTACGACAAACCAAATCCCAAGACCGTAAGCTACGAAGTCCGGAAACCCCTAACCCTTCACCCTGCAGCGCTGAACCCTCAACCCTGAGCCCCAAAAGCACCAACCCTTCAACCCCCAACCCTAAACCCTAAACCCCCAACCCTAAACCCTAAACCCTAAACCCTAAACCCTAAGCCCTTCAACCCCCAATCCCGGAAGTCTAAGCGGGATGACGGACTTCTGTGGCTTGGGATCCAAGCTTTGCCAGGCCTGAGAGCCTCCCAGAGAGGGAGTTCCCGAAAATAAGGGGTACCTTATTTTATTTAGGGTTTAGGGTTTAGGGTTTAGGGTTTAGGGTTTAGGGTACCTTATTTTGGGGTTCTTCTGGTTGGCTCTTAGGACTTTAACTTTTTGGGTCTCTCTATGAACTATAATAAGTAGGCTAAAAGTTTAACTTTTAGGAGGGGTTCAGAAGGCAGCCAAGTTATTTTGGGGTCTTTATAATAAGGATCCTACTATTTAGGGTACTATATTAGGGTCCCCTATTTTCGGAAACCCCCATGAAGAGTTGAACTCCGTCCGGTACTGTGGGAGGCGGCGACGCCCTGGGTTATCTATAGTTCTGGGAGTTTGACGTCATGCCAATTTTGTCCATCAGCAGTATGACTGGATTCATGTTTGGTGGGGCTTTGGATTCAGGATTGGCGAATGCGAGACTTTGCAACTGTAGCGGTAAAAGGGCCCGAATATCGGGGGCCCCAGCTGCTAGCAATCTCTGTTTATAGTCCCTTTATCATGACACTACAATATGATGCAAAGCTCAATTCTCTTGAGCAAGGCCTCAAGTATACCCTACTCACTTTCTGAAAGCCTTACGTATCCAATCAGCTTTAACACTTTGCCAGGCTATGCGCCGCACCCCGTCTTCAACCTCACTGGTCCCCGGGCACTGATTTAACATAGGGGCCTAAAAAAGTTTGAATAGGGTTTGGGGGTATATTACTACAATTATAAGAAGGAACCCCCAAAACTCTGTTCCAATTATTAAGGCCCCTACATCAGGGAGATGGATGGTTTGGGACTTCAGCCGTGTATGCGAACTCGCCATGTCTGCAGAAACAATACTGAAGACGTCTTTCAACAGGGATCCCTAAACCCTAAACCCTAAACCCCTAAACCCTAACCCCTAAACCCCTAAGCCGTAAACCCTCTAAGAACGAGGCTTCTGCTCGCGAGACCTTAGCTCCCTAATACCCAAACTTCAACCCTTTTTGGGTTCTCCGAATCCAGTAGTACTCTGAAAGTCTAACCTTTTATTTCCCTGGCTTTATGGGGAAGTAAGAGACTCTAGAATATAGTAGAAGCCAGAAAGTTGGAACCTGACTATCCTCATGCCCTTAAGGTAAAACATAAGGGATCCTAGCAGGAATCCTCCTAAACCCATGTTCCAACTCTCTGGCTTCTACTATAAGCACTTCAAAACGACAGATACTGTTAATGGACAAAATCCTGCATGACCTTAAGGACCTTACACTATGGGAATTATGGTATATTCCTTATAATGGGTAATGCAGGGTTTTTCAACAGTATCTCTCTTATCTCCGTGCTCAGCCCTTCAGACTTCCACCCGCAGTGCTCCAGCTGAAGCATATGGGTAGTTTTCTAAATTAGGGTCCCTTTGGGGGTCCTGTTTATAAGGGTGCCGTATAATTATTGGGGACCCAAAAAGGGAGCCTAATTTAGAGAACCACCCATATGGAGGTTTTGGAACATGGGGACCCGACTATAGTTCCCTAAATAGTAGGATTCCTATTATAAAGACTCCCCCAGCTAAGGTACCCCTTGTTTGGAAACTCCCATATCGACCGTGCACCCTAAACCCGGATCACATCTCTTTGCGGTCTCTACAGAATCAAGTTTCGACGACTGCGAGCCCCAGGTGCAATAGTTCGGCTTCGAAAATCCTAGCCGCGTGGGCCTGCAGGGCCCAGAGTTAAGAGGGTTCTTTTGGCTTTATGAGGACGTCGACGGGTTTGCGGTGGTTTTAAGGGTTGCAAGGA